TGGACAATAATAATCCACCTTGGGTGTGTTCTTAGTTATAGAAGGTGCTTTTGATAAAACCACCTTCCCCGAGATAATACTCTCACTAACCAACAGGAATGTTTCATAGATGGTTAGTGGGTTATTACATAACATGCTCTCAAAGCGAGCAGTAAACATAAGTGTAGAAGATGGGAATATAAGAGGCTTTTTTTTATTTTTACCCCCTTCAGACCTCCCGTGCTACATCCTAATCCGTCTGTAGTCTGGCAGCACTGCAGCCTGCGGCTTATTGTACCACCATTTGAAGGTCCTACTACTTTCCCATTCACACCTTCATTCATTCTCATTCATTCCACGTCGTCGATGGTTAAACGCTAGTTGGATGAATCCCATAGTGACACGGCCCATGGTGGAACCTCCAGCGGTCACCCATCCACGACGTGACCTGAGATAAGAGGCTTGGTTACGAGGGGATGTACACAGGGAGGGGGGTGCTATCACCTCTGTTGTGGAACGTGGTCCTCGACACCCTCATTAGTCAGCTCAATAATGACAGTTACTACACAATAGCATATAAAGATGACCTGGTCAGTCCGCAAACAATGAATTTTGAAAACATAATCTGCGAAAGAATGCAAGTAACTCTCAAAATTATAGAACAATGGTGCAAGGACCCTTCACTATCAATTCCAGGAAGACAAAAATGGTCCATTTTACATGGAAAAAGATGAAAGTTAAAACCTTTAGAGCTCCTAAACACAAAACTAAATTTTGCAACAGAGGTAAAGTATCTAGGTCTCACCTTTGGCAACTCACACTTAGAAAACAGAGTCAAAAGAGCATACATTGCTTATGTTATGAACAATGCGCACCTGGACCCAGACAGCACACCAAATCCTTTGGATATCTACTGCACATCCCAATATCCACTGAATGTCCAGTCCATGGTGGAAATCTATTTTATATCCATGATATGTAATTTATAGACATGCAAATGTCCATAAATAATAGTAATTATATAGCAAATTATTAAAAAATTACGCCATTGTGCTTGCCATTGTGGATAATAGTACCGTTCAGATATTTAAAATTAATTTTTTAAGGTGTATTCAATATCCCATGGACATCCACTAAATATATCAAAGTCTAGGCGCGAACGCAAATTATCGTGGATATCCACTAGATGTTATTTGATTTTGCTTACTAAGTATAGATGGCGATACCACTTTCGCATCTACTTATGCTTGACCCGCCGTAATTGAGTTCGATCTAAATTTTTGTTCTATTCATACTCTATTAGAGACTGGAGTTGAGAATTTCCATTTATTGCTGAAGAGTCCTAATAAGGATGACTTTCTCCTTAGTGGGCAAAATCAAAGGCAGAGTGTTGAAAATATTTTGAGTGTTGAAAATATTTTTTATTTCTGCTATTTTCTTTCGACGTTATTCAATAATCATTGGTTACTTATGAACCTCTACTAAAGATAAAATATGTTGCTGAATATCCGAATATCTTCTATATCCTGGGATATAGACAGACATTTGGTTGGATATCCATATTGGATATATTGAATATCCACAAAATATATTCTGTGGATATCTCTGGGATTTCTTGTATTTTCTGGAAGACACCCATTAGATATTTTGCTGGATATCCATTAGGATATCTTCTATATTCTGGATATAGACGAACATTTGGATATCCATATTAGATCCACGGAATATTTATAATATCTTGTGGATATATTGGATATCCACAAAAGATATTCTGTGGATATATCTGGGATTTGGTGTGTTGTCTGGGGAGTTACTCCGCCGGAGTCGTCACATTGACTTAAATGGTCATCACAAGACCTATGCTAACATACGGTGCAGTTGTCTGGATACCAAAAATTTGACAGCTATCCTCAAACTAGACCAAATTCAAAGAACAGCATTCTTAGATATTTACATCAAGGAGGTTGCTCTGATGACAATGATATGCCCCGCACGGTTGAAATAGAATCTGATGTAGGATCTGGTCTTGGCAAGAGGCGCTCGATACGCTCCCACTACTTCAAGCGAATATATATCTTCAAACGAAGATATATCTTCCATAAACCATTAAACATAAACTTATACCCAGACAGCACATCAAATCCTTTGGATATCTACTGAACATCCCAATATCCACTGAATGTCCAGTCCATGGTGGATATCTATTTTATATCCATGAAATGTAATTTATAGACATGCAAATGTCCATAAATAATAGTAATTATATAGCAAATTATTAAAAAATTACGCCATTGTGCTCACCATTGTGGCTAATAGTACCGTTCAGATATTTAAAATTAATTTTTTTAAGGTGTATTCAATATCCCATGAATATCCACTAAATATATCAAAGTCTAGGCGCGAACGCAAACCATCGTGGATATCCACTAGATGTTATTTGATTCTGCTTACTAAGTATAGATGGCGATACCACTATCGCATCTACTCATGCTCGACCCGCCGTAATTGAGTTCGATCGAAATGTGTGTCCTAATCACTCCATTAGAGACTGGAGTCGAGAACTTTCATTTATTGCTGAAGAGTCCTAATAAGGATGACTTTCTCCTTAGTGGGCAAAATCAAACGCAGAGTGTTGAAAATATTTTGAGTGTTGAAAATATTTTTTATCTCTGCTATTTTCTTTCGACGTTATTCAATAATCATTGGTTACTTATGAACCTCTACTAAAGATACCCATAAAATATTTTGCTGAATATCCGAATATCTTCTATATCCTGGGATATAGACGGACATTTGGTTGAATATCCATATTGGATATATTGAATATCCACAAAATATATTCTGTGGATATCTCTGTGATTTCTTGTATTTTCTGGAAGATACCCATTAGATATTTTGCTGAATATCCATTAGGATATCTTCTATATCATGGATATAGACGGACATTTGGATATCCATATTAGATCCACGGAATATTTCTGATATCCTGTGGATATATTGGATATCCACAAAAGATATTCTGCCGATTTCTCTGGGATTTGGTGTGTTGTCTGGGTAACAAAAGAGCCGGAAGTGGCAGGTACGATTCATATCTACACCGAAGGTACAAAAAAGGGCTAAGGATGTGGAATATACTCCAGATCCTTAAATCTAAACATAAAATGAGCTGTGAGCAATAGTGCCAGTGTAGTTCAAACCGAGCTCACGGGGATTCCCAGAGCAGCAAAAGAAATTACCAGAAACACTATCACTGGAAGACACATGCTCATCCTAAAAAAACTACGAAATTACTCAGGGTTAGTACTAGAATGTCACGAAGCTTTGGCTGAACTATCCATCAACAAAGTGGTCACCTTAAGATAGATTAAAGGTCTCAACACATCGAAAGGTAACCGTCTTGCTGATTTATTACCCAAGAAGGCAGCCAACCCAACACTTTTTGGACTTGGCTCTTCTATTGGATTGACATCGGTAGTAACAAACTTAATTAAAGAACATTCCCTTGTAAAATTCAAGAAAAGATGGGATGAAATAAGAAACTGCAGAGTTGTCAGGGAGCTATTAAGTTATCCTGATAAAAAATACTTGAGACTGTGACTAGACTGAATCTGTACCTGATCACAGGCATTCTGACTGGTCATTGCCAAGTAAGGAAGCATCTCCATATCATGAGACTGTCAGAATCCGCACTCTACAGGGGCTGCGAACAAGATGAGACCAACGCTCTCATTTATTAGAAGATTTGTGTTCGGCGAGTATCAACTACATTAAATATGTAGGCTGGCTCCAGAGCTAGGAGCTATCATCTTAGGAGGATGCACAATGGACTCTGCAGCACTGGCAAAATTTCCAAAGAAAAAATCGCAACAGCAAACTTTTTACAAAAAAAACAACGTTTTTCTGAATGTTAGTTTAACGCCCTGCAACTTTGTTGGGAGTCAGTTCTTGATATAGGTAAATATAGCCAAATCCACTTATTTTTTGGTAATCTATCTGAGAAAGAATTTATGACATACCTTTTTGGAACACCCTGTATAATGGATACGAATCACACGCGACTCGTACTAGTGAAACTGCGTTCACTTTTCAATTTATATATGCATGCTAGACCAGCCATACTCAAGCTTAGGGGAGTGTTTACTGGACCTTATTTTGTTAAGGGTGTTAAACGGAGATTAAAATAATATTGTTAAGGTAAAAATGTCATTTTAAACTTTGTTTAACACAACGGTGGAATCGGTCCTTAAACATTCGGCGGAAAAAAGTCAGTGGCCCACCATGTTTTTTTTATGAAAAAAAGTTGTAGCATTTTCGCATGAATGCAGCTGGTGCAAGAAGATATATTCGGACCACACCAAAACATGCACATTTAACTCTTCAAACCCTTTTGCAAATGTCAATATCTTTAAATTTCGTTGAAATTATTAATAAAAATAAATAAAATAATTTAAGTTTAAACACTCTGTATTTCGGAAACGAAGTATATTTTGACCTACGTTTAAGCTACCATTTTGGAACGCGAGACCGATGCAGGCGACAAGCGACCACGTAAGGAGACCAAAATGTGTCTCTTACGTCTAAACACATATGAAAAACATTTTGCGACAGCGCGATCGATGCAAAAGAGGCGCCTATCGTATGTCTCGGTATCGCCCAAATGTTACCTTTGAACTATTTTAACGAAATAACTTCGCCAACCACCCCCTAAAATATTTCGCACTTATTTACAAATACCCTGTATATGTGGCCGGGAGGAAAAAAGGTTGAGTACGGTCCCTCTGGACCCTGACAGGTAATTTGTATTATTTACAATCACTGTAAGTATTAAATACAATGGTACAATCGTTGTAACAACGGTACAATGATAGGTACATTTTTTATAAAAAAAGAAGTCAAATTCAAATAAGAATGTCTGTCGCCATCTCTTGCTAAAGTCATTATTCTCCTTGGTACGAAACGGTAGTTTTCTACCTAATTATAAATACTGACAGAAGACAGAATTATTACTTAGTAGGTAATCAGGTCAGTTGTGTGGTTGTAGGTTGTAATTGCATTGGCTAAAGAGCTTTTTGGATTGGATACGTAAAGTATCAAAATCGAAGAAGAAATACATGAAAATGTAAACGTCAAATTTTTTAAAGTTGACAAAACTCAATTTCAAAATTTTTTGTAAAAATGTTTGAGTTCGGGGATGGAGAAGAGTACGACTTTGCTCCCACAGAAGCGTAATTTTTAATAATTAGAGAAAAATATAATAGTCTAAATTTATTTGTTTTTAGTTCAAAACTTGCATCTCTATTTGGGGCTTCTATTCTACAAATTCCCAATGAGACAGATTTAACATATACTGCCCCTAAACAACCCACTCTAGACCATAAAGATGGACAGAATGATTCAAAAATCCTAAAACAACCAAATACAAAAGTTTTATTGGTTAAAGTAATTAATTTATGGAAGTTGTAAGTAAAATGAATTGTTTTTACTTTCTCACAAATTACATATAGGTACTCTATAGTATTTTTTTGAAGTATAGCTTCTTTTTCAAGTAATTTATATAGGTAAAATTGGACATTAAAATATTTCTGTCTTTTCTCCTAAAAGTTATTCACCAATTATACCTATAAAAACTACAAAGAATCTTCAAATAAGCAAAAAATATGATTAGGAGCTTGGTAGTATGTCAACATTGTTTCTGTCTGACTTGTAAGGAAATATTGAAATATAGGAACACTTCAAATTATAGTTTATTTGAAGTTTTTATGACTAAGGTATACCTATATTTTTATATAATTTTGCTATCATTCATTTTCAAATAAACTATACAATAAGAAACATGTTTAAATTGTATTTGTCTCTGCATTTTTTTTTTTATTTTATTTGTGTAGGTACTTGTGTTCATCCTGATTTATAACTTTAAAATGGTTATTTAACTTAGATTTTTATATTTCAAGTCAGTTATATAAAATGATTTTTGTTTCATTTCAGGGAAGACAAAACGTACAAGTCTTTGGGGAAACATGGATTGGGCCTAATAGGTTCTGCAGATTTGAAAACACAAGAACTTATTGCTTACAAATCAAAAGATTCAGTAATATTAAGGGCAAAAGTTTCTGAAAAGTTCCTCTTTTTTATTCAGAAAGATAACTTTTCCTCATTTCATGACAATGACCTACAAAACTGGCTTGTTAAATTTGAAAATAATGACCAAATTGAGTTTAGTAATGTAATAAAATCATATGGCGGCAGAGTAATAGATTCTACTAAAGAATCAGCAGCAATAATACCTAAAAATGCTGAAACTGATAAACCCAAACCAGATCTTTTGCCAAAACCTCAGAATTTAGGAACTGGTGATCAAGAATCAGATAGCTCAGAAAAAAGAACCAATATATTGAACAGAATCTCTAAATTGGGACAGCAGACTGTTCTAAGACCCATATCAACAGCTTCGGATGCTTCTGATCATGAGGAAATAACCAAAAGTAGAAAACATAGAAAAGCTAAAAAAGGAACCTCTGAAAAGGCTAAAATCAAAGAAGAAAATCGACAACTAGAACAATTGCCTATTGAAGGCCATCAGCAATTGGTTAGAAATGAATTAGCATTAAATAACTTAGTAGGTGTTCCTTCTACAAGCTACCCAATGTGGGTCACACATCAACCTGACATCAGTAATTATCTTCTTACTCAAAATCTTGACTTAAAACAGACTTTAGCTACAATTTCTTCAAAGCTAGATTCCATAAATAATCCAAAACCAAGCAATGACAATAGTACTTTAGTTTCTAAGTTAAAAGCGTTGGAAGTTAAAGCAGAAAATTTAGAAGCTACAGCTGAATGCTATAAGCAGAAATATGAAGAATTAGAAGTGAAATACTTGGATTTGTTAAATAAAGATAATAATAGGTTATTAGAAAGCAGCCTTTTAATTACTAATTTGGAAGGTCAAATTTCTACATTAAAATTACAACTGGAAGTAGCCAATGAAGGGGTAACTGAGTTAAAGAAACAATCTGATGTCTACGAAAATGCTCAGATAATGCTTAAGGAATATGAAGAGACAATAGAAGATCAAAAAGTCAGATTAACTGAACTAGAACAGTTTTATGAACAAAATAAAGACTTCACTGAAAAAAAAGAAGCAATTAATTCCCTAGGCAATGTAGTAAATGACTTGAATCAACGATTAAAAGCTTATGAAGACAAGTTGACTGCATCTGAATTAGAACGAGAACATTTGCGTCAACAGCAAGACCTCACTATTAGGAGTATTGGTAATTTAATTAAAATATCTATGAACGAAATGTATCAGAACATTTTGAGTAATTTTAATGAGGATTATTCCTATACTTACAGTGAATTAAAATCTCCAATTGCTGAAAATATGAAAGGGGCTACTCTTAATTTAATCGAGAATATTACTGAGAGGCTCATTGTTGACCAGAAGCCATCTGAATGAAAGACTGATTTTTAGAGTAGAGAAAATAAAGAGATTATATTGTTAAATCATTTATCTGTAAAAATGTTATTTGTATATTATTTTAAATATTCTTGATTTGTTAAGAACTTTTTAATTGTCAATTGACTGCCTACGAAATTCATTGTCACTAGGTTATTTGTATACTATTTTAAAGAGATTCTTGACTATTTAAGAACTTTTTAATAGTTAATCGAACCTGATTAACCATGTAACAGTAAAGGTACAAAGAATGCTGTAAACTCAATTGAGCTAATGTAGGCAAAAATAAAATTTCATTATGATTTAAACAAAGGCAAACTAACCTTAATAAAAAAAAATTACTTAATGTTTTACATGATATTTAAATTTATTTGTATAGCATTCGCTACCATATTGATATGATAACATGCAAAAGAGCTAACTCTAAACTTGCAGATAATGTTTAGAATTTGTTAAATTCGTTCATTGTCTATAAATGTTAGTGAGTGAAATTATTTCATTTATAACGTATCTCATCAATTTAAATATTTGATGTGTTTAATTAATTCTATGGAAATATCTTTAATTGGAGTTAGCTGGTTTACCTACAAGTTATTATATCATCCTTGGTGACACATATACAGGAAATTGAGAAAAAGTTGGTTAGTTTTCAAGAATTTCTTTAAATATTGTCATTTTTCTGACAACATAATGAGTTAAAAAATAGTTATAAATATTCTAATGCAATCAGTAGAAAAAGTATCATATAGGTTTAATTTATCATGGTGACGAAACCAAAATACATCACTTCTTCCTTGATTTGTAAACCTTATAGCCCTTTATTTATGGTTGAAAAAAAAAACGTTCAAAAGGTAAATGGTAACATTTAGTAAATTAGTCGGAGTTTTCCTTAATTTCCTATATGGGGCATTTATTTTCTGGTGTAATTATCTTAATATTCTGAATCCATCGAGACTTATCTTGACCTGATACAATTTCATTCTTATTCCTGTCCAATCAAATGTCTGGTATGTTTTCTAAAACCTGTTAAATTTGCCCTTCCATTTTATCAATAAATTACTTGTACAAAAAAAAACATCTAAATTTTAATTAATCCGAAATATTAACATACTTGCCTCGTCTTGTGTAAATTGTTTACCTATTAATTTTTTGTAGGTAAATTAATGGTATTGTCCTGTGCAATATATTTTGTAGTTTTAATCATTTCCCAAAAGGATTTTATATTATTGTGATATTAAATATACGAAAAGTGACTTTGTTAAATTGAAATATAAATGTATGTATCAAATATTAAAGACCATATTTTATAATTTCTTGTTTGAATTTTGACAATAACTGGCATGTAAAAATCAGTTGTACAAAGCATAAACAGGAACATAAGGCCCGATACTAGGATTTGCAATAAAAAAGTTGCTAATTTTATAATAGATCCTCTGGCTCACATTATTAACACATCGCTTAAAGAGGGAATCTTCTCATCTAAATTAAAAACTTCACCCACTTCTACTATTTTAAAAACTGGAAACCCGGAGATAATGTCGAATTATCGGCCAATTTCATTGCGGTTTAAAAAAAATCAAAACATGTGCAATGCCACAACAACTACTAAATTTTTTAGAAATAAGTTGTAACAATTAGCATGGTTTTTGTTCGACTTCGACTGCCATATAATCATTTTACGGTAAAGTGCTCTATTCAATTGAAAGGGTTGAAAGCTGGATTGGTGTATCATGCTTTTGACTGTTCAACATGACATTTTAAAAGATAAACTATATAAATATGGAGTGTGAAGAACAGCCCATGAGTGGTTCTCATCTTATTTGTGTGATAGACAATGTATTAAAATCTTAAATAATAGTCATAGAATATTTAAATCTACTCATATGACGAGTCCCACAAGAATCAATATTGGGCACTTTATTCTGCATATTAATGAATTACCTCTTATCGCAGCATTTACATCTCTGTATGCTTATGACTCGACATTATTATTTAGTAACAAATGCCAAGATATCCTTAATAATGAAATCTCAAAAAATACTCTCACAATTCTCTGCTCTGGTGATCTTACTTTCTGTTCCAATACTAATAAAACAAACTGTTTTATTTCATGCTCGTCAAAGGAGTAATGTTCCTGCCTTCAATATTTCTATAAATAGTTGATATTTGAAAAACTAAAGATGTAAAATTTCTTGGTGGTTTGACTCGAACCTGTCCTTCAAAATCAACTGGTTAAATGTATATAAATTGTTATTTTAATCCCACCATTGGCCGGGATTTTTTTTATTTAATTTAATTATTTAAAATTAATTCTGATGCCTTGGTAGGATTCCCCACTCGACCATTCACTGTTGGGTTCTAATTAACAGTGCTGTTCCTAAAGTGGCGCAAGGAAACAGTAACAAGGCCTGTCTATAGGGGTGTAGGAGTATTAGAGTACTAATACAATCCATAACCTACATAGAACACTAGGATAATGACCTTAGATGTTGAAGCCGTACACCAAATAAAAAAAAAATTTATGAATTCGTGAAAAATATGTCGAGCCATTGGTGCAATCGTTACTATGTGACGATGACATACAAGTCAAAATTTGGTTTCTACACATGTCATCTACTTTTCTTTAATGAAACTCACTTTAATACTGTTACATGCAGTTCACACTTATTTTAAATCGGGCTTGGCTCTGATATGTTTATTGTGGCCCACAAGCTATATAGATTCGAGTGATCCACAAAAATGCTTCTAAAGTAGACCACATATCGGAGCGTACAATTCTTTTTTTAAATTATAGATTTAATTTAGAGGCGTGCATAGTTATCATGGACACGACTCTTATATATCTTAGGTTGGTCATGGCCTATTTTAGAAACCTTTTTTTTTATCACTATTTTTATTGAAGAACAAATGCTTTCTCTTTCTGATGCATTTATATTTTGGCATAAAAATTTCTAATTAGAAAAGATAGTATAGACACAGCTTATACAATACAGCTCCACAACTCCGTGTCGGCGTCTTTGATCTGGCGGTCGAGAACCAAGCAAGACGGAATGGTGCTATCTCTGTTAGATTAAAGGGAAAAGTCGGGCCCGGATTAAGCAATTTTTTTATTATTGAAAAAATTGAAAACCTTGACGTAATAAGGTTGGTTACATGCCATGTTAAGTAAGTTTTGGGAAATTAAATTTTTAATTTGTTTTAAATCTGTCAAATATAATTAAAAAAATTATTTAAATATAAATATTACGAAAAATAGCACATCTTTCGGATTAGAGGTAAAATAATTTGTATGTGGCTAGTAAAATCCTCGTTAACAAATGTTTTGAGCTAAAACAGTCACTTCACGACAAATTGTGACTTGGATCCTTTTTACACCAAGGGCTTCAATTGTTAAAGAAATGTGTCACGCTCGTGGATGCAAATCAAGTGGTACCCCGTGTCTCTGGCAAGTGTTACTCTTCGCGCAAAGGGTTTATACCTAGATAAACGAATGCTTCGACTGAGGTCTGGGAACTCTATGGTATTTTGGAATTATAAAGAATTTGTGCTTTTATTTTAACAAAATTGGTTATATTTAGATGTATTCTTATTAATTGAAATACAGATTTGTAGAAGTAATACTTTAACAGTTTTTATTAATATAATATATTCAATTTTTATCTGACCATACCGAAGTAGGGAATTTTGAAACTTTATAGTAATGTGAAATTTGAATTACAATATTACACGATATTACATAATTAGTACTTATTTTAGGTAGGTACTAAATTTGTACTTGGAGAAAGTAATATCGATTTTTACAAGAAAACTTGAAAAGTAAATTAATTTAGTTCTTATTTCTGATGTAAAACTTAAACCAAGAAAACAAATAAATTGCGTAGTTTGTTCAACAAGGGTGGATATGATAGCCATATCACACAAAGACGAAGTTTGAGCACGACGTCGTAGGCGGAGTACTCTATCGTCTGATTGTGATATGAACAATCCACTCGATATGGTCAGTATATTTTTTCTACGACCCACTAACGAAAATCTACAAATTTAAAAAATTATTTTAGGTTATTTAGACAAAATAACTAATTTTAAAATAATTTACGAAGTTGACTAATTTATAAAATAAAATAAAATAAATATGAAAAATTAATTAGTCCTCGGCCTAGATTCGATCCCGGGCTTTTCGCATGGAAGGCAGATGTTCTGTCCTCATCTTCACCGAAACTTTCAGGACTTTAGTTTTAATACTCGTAATTAAATTAGTATCATGTAGTTTGATTAAAATTTATTTTTTTTTAAATGTGGACATAATAAAAACAAAAATGCTATTATTTATCGAGTCTACACAAAAATTTTAATGTATATTTAATATCAATAACTAAAATATATATTGACAATTAGTTTAACAGAATTATCACTTATTTAAAAAATTTTAAATAATAGGAGTTGGGTGACCAAAATATGAACTGTGATTTGTAGATTTAATTTTGTTAAAGTGTTCTCACTACCTAAAATGGATATGAAATATATTCGTAGTTGAACGCAATAACATAATTTTTCGTTTTGTAGTATGTGCGTAGATTGGCTAATATCCATGCACAGATTACAAAACGAAAAAGTATGCTATTGCCTTCAATTGAACGAATATATTTCATATCCATTCTAGGTAGTGAGAACACTGCAAAAAAAAAATAAATTCGCCAATCACCGTTCATATTTTGATCAACCGACTGCTATTATTTTTAAAATTTTAAATAAATGACAATTCCGTCAAACTAATTGTCAGTATATTTTTTAGTTATTGAGATTAAACATACAATAAAATAAGTTATTCTTTTGGAAAACGTTAGCATGGATGACTAAAGGGTATTGGGTTAATTAATTCTAAAAGTGTGGTACAAATGTTATTTTTTGTAGCCAATTCTTCAAAATTATTTTAAAATATCTTTTCAATATTGAATATTAGTTCTACAAATTCATCATTTGACAGTTGCAGATTTCCAAATGTATCTGAATTGGCGTTATCATATGCCTTTTAAAAGCAATAAAAAGAAAAATCGTCTAATTCAACGTGATCTTTGTTATATTTAAGACAGGTATCGCAGGAGTGGATCCGCAAGGCTTTTATTAAAAGGTAACCACACACATACCTGATAAAAATTTTCTGTAGCAATTCGTCTTTACAATAATTTAGGGTGTTAATAATTTCATCATAAAATAAAATATAAGGTGTTCCATTTAAAAAACATACATTTTAATTTTCCAGGCAAAAACGTGACACCCTGTATATCCAAAGATATTTTTAAAATATGTAGGTATTTTTCAAATCCATATAACTTTTATTTAAAACTTTCTTGCGTGTCTACAACAAAATAATGAACAATAACGCACTAATGAGACACCCTGTATAAATTATATTTTTAACAATGAAAATTTCTTATAATGTAGTACTTATCGGTTTGGGTCCTTGGGAAAACTAAAGAATGTTTTCTTGCAGGTATAACCCTTATTAAAACAGCTTTTGAATGCACAAACTCATTCTACTCACAGCTAAAGAGTCACCAAAATAATAACAGTACCTTTAACTCAAACAAAATCAACGAAATTATAGGCTCCACGAAATTATACAATCAGCGACGAAATCGACGCAAACCGTTGCCGCCAAGAGAGTGTTTTAGCTGTATTGTTAAGCAGGAGTGCGTTTAGAAACCTCGTACGGCGCGTCTTAACCCTATTCGAATGTATGTGGTTAGACGCGCCGTGCGAGGTTTCTAAACGCACTCCTGTGGTATAGACATGACTTCAAATATTTCCAAAGAATGACAGCTTATTTTTGAGCATCAAACTTTTCTCTGGTCCACATTTTTTGTATGTTTTCTTTTTCGAGGTATAATTTACAACCATCTCAAATACATAATAGAAAATTGAATATCGTTGATACTAGGATTTCTCATTTGATGAGCCATCCACAAAGGAATTAAAATTTAACTACATAAAAAAAGTAATTTCAAATTAGCATTTATTAACTTTGTTTATACTACAATATTAAGTAGAAAAATATTAATAATTAAATAAAATCTATACAGGAGACACAACATACATAAACATCTATACCTAATGAGAAATTTGGCATCAAAATAGGAATCGTATTCCAATTGTACATGTTTACAATTCAACATGCCTATTTAATATTCTTGATTCAATATCTAAATGTATTTTTTCGACCTTCCTAGCATGTTTTTTAATATTATCAACCATTAAAGATGCCTTATCAATTTTTCCACCTGATATCCCCATTTTTTCTTTTTCTTTATATTTCTCTTCATGCAAAGCATGCTCTACTTGAAGATGCCTCAACTTTAACAACCTGTTTTCATAATGTAATAACTCTGTTTTCAATGAATGTAGCTCACTTGGAGTAAAATTACTTTCTAGAGCGATCTTCCATAAACCTTGCACTTTTGGCTCTACGAATTCTTTACTTGCAGGACCTTTGGCTGAAAGTAAATGAAGATGGTCGAATCCATCTTTAATGTCTTTATGCTTTTCTCTTAGTAGATTTACTTGATCAAGATAATCTTTATTTGGTTCTTTTTCATTCTCTTCTTGTACTTCGATTTTGTTATATTTGTCTAAAGAATCTTCCACTGCATCTAAAAAATAAAAAATATATTTACTATTTTTTTTTAAAAATATAGCAAAATAATTTTGTCAATTTTTTTTAATATTATTGCCTTAGCATTTACTAAATTTTTGTACTGTAACTCATGTATTTTGGTCACACTGTGTCATATCCCAAAAATATACTTTTATCTCTAAAACCAATGTTGCTATCAATACCTGAAAAACTGTTTGTATTATAGAAAAATATTTATTCACTCTCAATTTATTCCAACATAATGCTTTTAATTATTATTTCAATTAACACCTCTGATTTAATTCAGTTTGTTATAAAAATAATTAAAATCACCAAAGAAGGATTTTTTCACTAGATTTCAAAATTGGTAAACCCATTTTTGTTTCTATTTTTATTAAATCTAATCACACTTTTTTACTTACTTCCCTCATAATCTTCTGGTTGCCCTTTAACATCATGTAACAATGAATAATACTGATCAATCTTATCTTGATGATGATTAAACTCCTCTTTCAAAGCTAATAATTCTTCTTGTGTAAAACCGGCTCTCTCAGCTTTCTCCCACAATTTGTTTAACTTTTTATCCTTAAATAAACTTTTGTTGATATGATTATCACCAGCTTCATTTAAAGGTTTCCATCTTTTAATTTTTTCATCATCAGAAAGGTCATCAGCTTGATCCATCAAACCATAATTTTCCATTATTATTAGTAGTTTTTTTCTTAGCTTAGCTTCCATAGTTCCATCTTTGTCTTTGCCCTCTGCACGAAGGTGTTTCCAAGTTATTTCCTCTTTATCATGTACTTTTAGCTCGCTGAATATCGACTTTAGTTTAGATTCTGACAATCTCTAATTAAAAAAAAAAAAATAAATTAGTAAATATTTCAGGTGATGCTTTGGCAAAAAAAAGGAAAAAAAACTTTATATAAACATGTCAACAAAACAGAGTACCTTTTTAATGTAAAAAACTCAAAAGGAAAATTGCAAAAATAATTGCTTACAAAAAAGTATGCTAAAAAATACTCTAAGCCGACTCTGTTTAATACACAACTGAATTCAGGGGCAATCTTTAAATGCTATATCTCTCTTAAGATCTTATGTAAAAAGTTAATATGGTAGACTTTGAACTATCCTCGGAACTGCCTTTAGTTGTTATTAGATTCATTGTAGTCTCCAAGTCCAACTCTCTTAATTCATCAAACAGCTTCTTAGCTATTTTAAAGTTGTAGCCTAGGTGCTTGTATAGGGATCTACAGGTGTTGATTTTCTTAAATTTATTTTACAATAGGCAGAATATACCTGGACATATTATTTTTATTGCCTCAGGTGATACTTTAATTTTAAATTGGCATACAATAAGGCAAGATCAAAAATATTTTTAATGGTTAGAAGATTAATTTTTTTTTTGCTTTTTTCGAAAGTGAAAACTATTTAAATCAAAAGTGAAAAGTGGCTAGTATGAATAATGTTGGGGGCTAGAGGTGAGTCTTGAAATAGACCTGAAAACTTGTATTGCCAAGTTTTTGTGGTAACATTTAAGTATGAGCTAATTTTCTTAAAAGTAGTGGAGGTCTAGACCTGCAACACTATTCTTGACATACTTCGCAATTACACATATACTCTTGCGAAGGGTTCTGACATGCTTTCCTAAAATAAGATTCTTGAAGATCCTTCACAATTACTTGTGAATGTTCTACCGCCTCACTTTGGCAACATTACAATTTTATTATATTAAAATGACACACTGAATGATACTAATTTTTTGTATCATGGAAAGACAGTTTTCATTATCTCACTGCATTTAGCTCTTCAAAATTTGTTTAAAAATGTGCCAATCTGTTAAAAATATCTGGTTCATTCAAAGCAGTGCTGATTTCTTTATATGCATCTGGAAACTGATGATGGGAAAACTGATACAAATATACCTCTCCCAACAGGGCCAATGTCCTTTTGATAGGCAACAAACCATAAAGCTATTAAAACCAACTATGTTAATTTAAATTTACTCTCATATAGGGCGAAAGTGTATTTATTAAAAATCGACACAATTCGTGGTTAACAAAACGAACAGGCGTATCTTAGAATTACAAGATTTGAGTAATTACAGTTCAAAGGTTTTTATTAACTTCAAACTGGATTTTTTTAACTTTAAAAGTTGCTTAAAAAATGCTAATAACAAAATGTTGTGTCAATGCCAATATATAACTGCCAAAACGCCTTTTGATGGACCTAACTCAAATCCAGGAATTTTTGAGATACGCCCCTTCATCATGTTAGCGACGAATTCTTTTGAAATTCTATATTTGTACAAATTGATGTTCACTTAAAATATGTAAGTATCAAATGAACTAATATTCTAAAAATATATATCTCTGCATCTTCAAGATTAATAAGTCTAAAGATTTCTATTTCTAGGGGTCTTCAAACTTTCCAGCCCTATGGCTATACTGATTACTCCAGTAAGTTCCAAGGGTTAAAACCATATTAATTTTCCTGCAATTATCTATAATGTCTAGACTAGTGACCAGGTAAGCACCCTGACTGAGCATACTCTTGCCAGATTGATGACACTGACAGGCACAATTTGGCCTGATGGCTGTAGTTTGGAGACACCTGCTTTTAAACACAAGTCATTATTATGATCTCAGTCAATATATTAAATGCACACACAAGTGGTTTACGATTGATAATACTACTACTTTATATTCTAAGGATAATACCCACTCACTTTTTTATAAGAGTACTCGAACATCTTATGTCCAATCAAGATTACACAATTTGTTGTTTTCAATCATAAGGGCTTCTATTATTGCAGTTAAAGGATGAAAGTAGTTATATAGTGCTGCTATTTTTTTTTTTTTTTTTTAATGGCACTGGATAAAACCAAACGGCCAGACTATTTAAAGGATTGGTTTTATAAGTTTCTTTTGACACTGATGGAATGTGATAAGATTTAATTTCATTGATTCTGTCAAAAATCAAATGTATGAAGCATTAAAAATAAACTCAGAATCTTAATTATTTAATATATTTTAGAACTATATAAACTTAGCACTTTCTGGTAACTTTTTCAAAAAACATAAACCTAATGAAAGGTTCACAAAATGTATTGTTTGTTCAAAATTTAATTTTTATATAGTTCAGAACTTTTTAAATAAGATTTAAGGCTTACCAAAACTGCTTTTGACCACAACAAATTTAATTTGGCCATGCGAAAGGGCCTGTCCAAATGTTTAAGGGAGACAGGACGAAAATCTATCGGTTCAATATTATCATCACTTTTTTTGAGTTTGGGTTTATCATTTTTCTTTTCTTTTTTAACATCTTTATTTGCCTCTTTACTGTACTTATTAACGCACGTAACCTCGACTAGTAAATTAAGTAAAATTATTAAACAGACTATATTCAAATACTTCATTTTGCTTATTAATTAATTAAGCGTTAAAAACCATTTGTATAAAATGTTTCTGTAATTAATTATAATTAACCTAAAAATAGAAAATGTTGACGGAATAAGAAGAATTAATTGACGATTTATTTGACAGTAGGTAACTAGTTAAACTGATAGTTAAAGGATCGTATAGTTGTGCCATCTGTTGGGTTCTCATTAAACATTTTTTAAATGCAGCAAACTAGAATGAAGGTTCCATTCATAAATCTATTTGAATTTAGAGGGTGCAAGAATGAATTTTGTAATTGTAATTGTCTTACATCATTGTTGTTTGTGTTTAGGTTACGTTACCTTCATTTTTAACATATCTGGGGTATTAAATATGTATTATAGTAGAAAGTAGATTATAATTTTGATAGATTTTAGGTACTCTAGTCATACTTTTGATATCAGCGTTTGATCACCTGTTCAGTTCTGTGATAATTTATATAGTGTATTTAAGTGTTGTGTAATTTTGTGTTAAAAATTTGTCTGCAAGCAAGTGCACGGTGTAAACGAAGGTTAAAAAATTATTATACATAAATGCACATCGGTATTCATACATCAATAAGTGTAAGTGATTGATTCGAGTACAATATGTTCGGGGAATTATAAAAATTTATCGCGAGATAAGAGTAAATAATGTCAAACATGGATAGTAATGTTATTGACAATGTTCCTCAATGGAAAAAAGATTTGATCGCTAGACTGAGAAATCAAAATAAATCGTTCAGCAACAGAGATCACCAATCTGCCCCCCATCACTCTCAGCGAACGGTACAACAACCTAACCTAACAGGCAAGAGTGTATCAGTAGCGTCAGATGTTTCACGGCAGACTGATGCACCGGCCGACCAGTGTAACGTGAGTTCGAAAATGGTGCAAGAACGAGTTTGGGTTGACAATAAGACTGATCATTTCGCCAAAATGGTGAGCCAAAATTACGCAAATAACGGTTATCACAAGGGCAGCGATTCCGACTCATCGGAAGAATTGCATTACGGTCCCGGGATAGTGAAAAAACTTAAAAATAAATACCTCAGTCTAGCCCTTCGAGAAAGCAGCAATCGTCGGTCTCTTCTTCACATGAGGAAAGCCATTTCTTCGGAAAATCTTCTCGACGAAGATGTCCAAGAAAATAAAACCACTAACGGTCATTACGAGTCTCTGTTTAACAACACTAGTGCTAGAAATGTGCCTCTTCGATACAGATCCGCTAACAGACAACCCGACGTTAAAAGGGCTCGGTCTGTGGAAACTATTTCGCGTTTAGATAGCCAGACTGACGATAACAATGTGGTTACTAATCGACAATCGCTTAACGAAGAAACCCTTATCTCTGTGCAGAAGGAAGGAAATGACTATAACTACAGGAAAATGCAAGATAATTCCGAAACAAAACCAGAAAACAAGTTCAGTCAGCGAATAAATAGACCGAAGAGACTACAACCAATTATGAGTGAAAAGGAAAAGCCTCCCGCGGACGTTGTGAAACAAGCGAAAATGATTTTTGAAAGGAGGCCCGAACAACGGACCAAAAAACCTCACCAAACTGGTGACGTAGCTGCCAAAGTGGATTGCTATAATAATATTATAGTAAAAGCTAAAGTGGAAGCTAAAGTTACCAGGAAACCTCCAGTCAAAGGTAACAAACCCGTACTTAATGAAAAGAAAGTTGTAAATAATAGATCTCCAGTTAAAACGAATACGAAACAAGAAGAAAAACTGCATAAAAAACCACTACAGCTCAATAAAGTGCCTAAAAACGACTTGAAAGATCTTCCGTTGCTTAGCCCTATTCCAGACGTATCCAGAATTTTACCAGGGGAATCGGAACGTGGAAAAGCTCAGTCAAATTTATCAGAAACTCCAGACTTAATCCTAACTTCTAGTCCGCTTTCATCAATGCATTCCCCAACTTTCAAACAATCGACTGAAAACTTCATAAGAGAGGAAATTTCTAGTGAACGTAAATTGAGCAGTCCTTTATTGAGCCCTAATAGGGTTAAACCGGCTAGCCCATTGACTAGTCCAAGTTATAACAGGTATTTTAGTCCTTCTTCAAGTCCTACAAAGTTGAAACCAACCACTTTAAACTACGATGATGATGATGACGATGCGGATTCTGGAATAAAGAAAGTGTCTCCTACTAGCATTAATATGATTTCTAAAGAAACTGGAAGTGTTGTTTTTAAGTTTGTGAATAAGGAAGTTAACCAGGATCATCTTCCGATCAACCAAAACGTTTCGGAAACTAAAATCCCTCCTTCGGAGCCTTTAAAGATCGAAATTAACGGTCACAATGATACGAAACCTTCTGGTAATGAGGTTAAAATTTTACAGACTGAAAAGCCGCGTTCACGTTCGCCACCTAAATTCACACCTCCGCCGCCGCCTATCGTTGAAAAACCCGCGGAAAAAATATTGACTGTTACTGAAATCGAAAAGAATTCCATAAATGCATCCAAGAACAGTAAATCGCCTAGTGGTTGTAGTGAGATCGGTAAAAGTGTGGAAGTCGTGAATAAAAATGTAGTGCCAAAAAAAGTCGTGAGGCCCAGGGAACCGGTTTCGGAGTCGTCGTTTGTTATTAACTTTGTGGGGACGAAAAGGGACGTACCTGATTATATTTCGAATGATACGTCACGGTCGGCGAGCAAACCAGAATTGCCCAAGGTAAGTTTATATAAGAAAGAAACCTTCACAAAACAAAAACAAATTTAAGGGCAGGTAATGGATTTAAACGAAGAATTTTTTGACTTGGCACACAATGAGTAAGGTACCTACTTTAATAATCCACTGGCAGTTTATCACATCAAGCATGAAAGTGTCCCTCTTTGTAAGAAATTTTAAATTTTGTAGCAAAGACCGAAGGGTAGGTATTTCACTCTACTAGAAAACGTACATGTATTTCCGAATTATGGGAATATTTCGGTAATTCCGGGTAATTCTTCCGAATACCAAAATACCAAGATAATACTTGGTAATGTAACGTAATTCCCGAACAAGGAAAAAATATAAGATAAAAGAAATCTTTATTTTGGGACATTTCAAAAAAGGTAGCAGAGCACCTAGAAAATTTTGAGTTGAAGTCTATGCTATATTTTAAGGCAATTTTTATGTCATATTCAAACATTTTATAGCTTCGAATAAAGCCAGAAGAGCATCTCGGTTTTTTTTTTGCTAAAAACCACATTTTTATGCTATTTTAAGGTCTTTAAAACATCCCGAAAAAACTTTCTGGCTCAATAAATAAACAATATTCCCTTACGGGAATTGCGGCCTGTAAAAGTCGGTTGCAAGGAGAATTGCCTCATTATACGGCAATTTGTTTTAGAAACAACTGTTTCGTGGAAATGAACGATCTTTGCAACAATACAAAGAATCCGAAAGAATCTAAATCAAAAATTAAATATAAATACTCGTTTATTAATTTATTTAAAGATTTGAGTAGGCTGTAGGCTGATCAGTCTTCCAACAATTTTCCAAAGTTTTCATCTGCTTCTGATGAACGTACTTTAATTGTTCATTATTTGACTTCCATTGTCATTCATATTACCGTCATTCATGTTATATTTTAACTACAAAGCAATAGTTTTATTTTCAAAATTGGTTTAGTTTTCCAAAAGTCAGTGGTTAAGAGCAAACCGGACCTCTCACAGAAACATAAAGGTTTTAAGGATTTTCTAATATATGTATTTATATGCGCGTCACTGGGAAATACTTCGTGATATTGTGTCTTCATTCAGAGCTTTAAATTTGCGTAACGATAAGGCAGCACTCTACAGAGACGATTAAGAAAAACTACTAGATATATTTATTAAAACAAAAAGCAGAAAATTTTCATAAATTTAATACAGAATGGCGCGTAAATGTCTTTTTTTATTTTCCTTTCTAAAATTTTTAAAATAAGTACTTTTCGTAGGTTTACAAAAAAATTCAAGGTTTCTCCATCCTAAGTTTTTTTATTGTTGGTATTTCCTGAAAAGTTCACAAAAATCGGACTAAAAATAAAGGCTCAGAAGGAATTATAAATTTTCAAACCGGCTCAAGGTGCTCGGTTTGCTCTTATGAAAAAATTATCCATGTATCTTCTTGATTTGATCTCATATGGATTTTTAATCTTATTGTGTACTTAGGTACTCGTTTTATTTGTCATTAGGTTTGTGGTAATTTGTTTTTTAACGCCTTTTATTAAGTAGAAACTTGATAAATAATAAACGTTTTTTAAACGTTTGTTGTTTTTCATTTCAATCAATTTCATTATGTCCTTAACCTTATTTATTTGTATGAAATATTTAAATATTTGGCATTACGAAGTTAACTGTAGCAAAATTGCTATTTTTCTAACTGTAATAGGACTTACAAAAATAATTAAATGGACCCTCAATTGTTTAATCGTAGTCATTAGAAAAATCATGAACAAAATTGAAGTCTTCTTTAGGCTTAATTCGAAATAAGCAAAGCACACAATATATTTTTTAAGTTTTATAATATTTCGAAGGCCAAAAAATAGCCCACAGATGAGGAATAGTTGTTTTTAGACAAAAACATTCAATACTATTTCAAGAGCCTCAAAATGTAATCTGAGGTGCTCTACAGGATTCTTTCGAACCTAGGAAAAGCACCGAGTATTTTTTAAATACCATTTTTTTTTAAAGTTTTGTTTTAAAAGCTTAAAAATATGGTGTGCTTAAAAAAAAATTAAGAAAAATTGAGAAAATCGAGATGTTCTGCTGGCTTCGTTCCTTGATTTTTGTAAAAAAACTAGGGATCGACCGATACGATTTTTTGTGGGCCGGTATCGATATATCTGGCCCTCGATCTGGCCATACATTTTTATTATGAATATTTCACTATAAAACTTGGGAAAAATTGACTTATTGTGGCCCCTTTAGCAAAAATTGCTAAGAAATCAAATCAGGTATAAGTACCAAGATGTTCAGAAGAACTTATCTACCGGTATGACAGCAAGTAAATCACCACAATATAGGAAGAAGACTGATACTTGAATGTGACTTTAAAATTTACATTAAATTAGAAAAAATATCAAAAATGAAGATCCTTTGATTTGGAGCGCACAAAGATAAGACATTTTTCTACTATTACACCAAGTAGTGTGGCTAGTGAACAGCTATTCTCTCTTCAGCTGGTGCTGTATAGGGCGATTCATTAAGGGAGGAGACTGGTCGTATCTCAGAATATCTTGAAGTATTCCACACTCGACCATTCGCGGGTTCTAATTAACAGTGCTGTTCCTGGAGTGGCGCTGGGAAACACTAACAAAGCCTAAACAGAACACAGAAGATAAAGAATACAAAAACAAACAGAGACTGGCATATTAGGTACATACACCTAGGCCATAAACCGAAAAAAAAATCTTGAAATAGACCGCAAAAAGAGGTCGATTGTTATTTCAAGGTAGAAACCTTATGTCATCTGTCACACTCACCGGTAAACAAGGGCGTACCCAGCGAGCGTTGCTGTTGCCCCCCTAGACCCTAGAATTTTTACAATAAAACATAAAAATCATACACCTAAAATAGGAATAAAAATAAAGAAAAAACAATAAAAAGAAACTACTACTGTATTACAAATTTATAGAATGTTGTTTTTAATAACTAATAAAAAATAAAAGAAAAACTATTGTGCTTTTTTTAAAGGTTTGCTCTTCTGGTTCAGATTCTGGGTACGCTGTTGCCAATACAATTTAAATAGGGAACGTATGACACATCGAAACGGTAATTTTATGGATAATTAAGAATAGACTGTTCATTACATTATTTTTCATTTTAACGCCCTCTAAAGGGTTAAAAAACTGTTAGGTATTGTAAAGTGTAGCACTTCATTCGAAAACTAATTTTATTAGTAATCCAATGCACCAAATAACATTAATCTAAATATCTTCATATTGCACTTGCAACAAAAAAAGTTAGTAATAATGCAATCTTTTTTTTTTTAATTTTAGGTTCATTTTTAATTTAGTTAACACAATATTATAATATAGTGTATTGAACTCGGTATTAAATTAATAGAGACGGTGGCGTAGAGATCTCACGCGCTTATATTCATTTATAGGCAAGTTTGTGGCCAGAAACAGAGGAGTTTCGAATCCTACACCAGACCATGTGGATTTTTAATTAAATTGCATGGTTCGTTATAGGATTTGATGTGTGCCGTATTAATAGATGATGGTGGGTGAGGTTTTCCGGGTTTTCCTCGGCTGTAAGTCAAATGGAACCATCAATCACCTTTAAGTCGGCCCGCAGCGCCTCGGCAATTAATAATAATATCCGTCCCTTGGGGGTTGAAATTCACTCGTAAGGATTTGAAATTCAATCGTATGGATTTGAAATTCACTCGTAAGGATTTGAAATTCAATCGTATGGATTTGAAATTCACTCGTAAGGGGGTGAATTAGGGAGAGTATTATTATTATAATATTTTATGATTATTATTATATTATTATTATATTATTATTATTATTATTATTATATTATTATTATTACTAAAAAAAATAGCTTTTAAATAAAGTGTTACACTTTACAATATGTAAAAGTAATGCAATGAACAGTCATATTGCTGAATTTCCGTCAAAATTTCCCATAAAATTACCTTTTCGGTGATGTTTCATACTTGGCACTTTCCCTATTTAAAATGTATTGGTTAAGGTAGGCGGAAGGGAGAGGAATGACATATGACAGTTGATTATGCTATAGAAAGGTGTACCCTTTGAAAAAAAAATCGACCTGTTTTTTCGTTTCTTTCAAAAAAATACAGCCGGTCGCTACTCTTAATAAATCAGCCTGTATAGGAAAGCACAAGAAATCGTCAAACAAAACTGGATTTTAAATATTAAAAAAATACATTTTTTAACGTAATCTTTTCCTTTTAGATTTTAAATGTTTTTTTTTTTTAATTCTAAATAAAAATATAATTGCATTATTTTTTATTTAATATTTTGTTTTAATTTCTTTAAAATATTCTTAGCAATTGCAATATTTAATTATTTTTATTAGGCCGATACCAATATCGCACTTTACATATGGCCGATATACCGATATCGATATCAGTCGATCCCTAAAAAAACGAGCATAAATATTTTTAATAATGTATAACAGCCTAAAAATATGGCATAGGATTTAAAATAGGTACTCGACTGCCTTCTTTGGCTTACCAGGGTTTCTCTCGTCCAAATTACCATTTCAACAAAAAAAATCCCTTTTCATATTTGAACTTCCTTTTTTTTTGTAATAATAACAAACATTATTTACAACAATAACTTAGAATAGAAAATAATTTTTAATAAAAAAAAACGAATAAAGTACCTAACTAAACAAAATAAATCACCTTAAAAATTCTTACCAAAATTGAATGCAATCGATAAAGAAATAAGAAACGAGTACCTTAAATTTGTCATTTGTTTTTGAAAGAATACATTATTGTCTCGATTATTGTATTATGTAATATCGTATGTTCTTCTGTAATGTCATGCGTAGTTACATTCATTTCCGTCGTCTTTAAACCATTTTTGCTTTGCAGTGCCGAAACCACAACACGTTTAGTATTCGGACTATAATTTGTTTTTGGTTTCCTGTCCTTAATGATTATTAGGTACTATGTTAATTGAACAAGAAAAACACTAAATAGCAACCCTATAAAAATTTTAAGTTTCC